TATATATATATATATATATATATATATATATATATAAATTATTTATTGATCTAAGTTTTTGCAGTTATTCTCACTGCTGAGCCACAAGGTTGTTTTGCCCTTTGCTTTAGCGGGAGTGTATATGTTTACCCTCAACACACACACCTAGACAAGCAGTGTATGTGGGGGGGGGTGTGCTAGCTATACAGGTATTGTCTAACCGTTTCCAGGAAAACCCCTCGCAAAGACTTTCTAAACTTTCCAGTTTGCATGCTCAACAGAAAAAAAAGCTGCTTGTGTTCTTCATTTGACGTTTTCAACTCATCACAATGATGCTTTGACCTTAAATTTCAAGTTTTGTCTTTACGTATATGTGTTTAAGTGATGAGCGATTGGATGCTCTTTTTATTGGAAAGGTAAAGGCATCTTCATGAAAAGTTTAAATTTAAGACCTACAGCTTGATAGTTGTATGTCTTAGTTAGGACTATTTCATCTGCATTTTTACTTAAAAATTTCTTCGTATGCAAATCTTTTGACATTTTCTGCCCGTTGAAAGTGTTCAGTCTTAAGGATCAGTCACATCAGGGTTCCCAAACTTTGTTCCCAATTCTAATATCTAAAAATATTAAAGTCTAAGCAAATGAAAATGAATTTCTCAAATAACTAAAGAAAGAACAAGTTGTCCACCAACAATATACTGACAAAGTACATGCAAGTAATGTTAAATATGCTTTTTGGTTTGCTCCTACTTGGCACATATTTCAGCTGAAAAATCCGTGTTTTACAGAGCATGTGTTATTCACAGAAAGCTGCGAGGAATGTGCTGCCACTCAGAGTAACCCGAGGATGCCCCGTCCTGTCCCAGTGAATGGATGGAGACTGAAACTTTTAACTATTAAATGCAAATCACAGGTCCACATTTAAAACAAACCATTAACATTCTAACCTAGTGACAAATTAGAGCCACTTGAACATGAATGTTTTGGGTCTGCAGGAGGAAACCAGAGTATCTGGAAATGTTCCATGCATGCAGGGGGAGAACATTATTCTACACTACAAGGCCTCAGGCTGGCAGGTGAACCCGTCTTGCTGTGAGGCGAAAGCTCTAACTGCTGCTCTGCTGTCTATGAGTCATTATACAGTTTCAATGCCCTCCACTATGAACCCCTCCCTGATATGATCAAGATGCTGCTGAGTTTAGTAACGGAGTTGGAGGATTTATAATGCACTGACTTTGACAGACACTCCTACAGTTTGTAGGAAGCTAAAGTATTAAACGTGAATGTCAGATAAATGAAAATATTCCTCGTCAGTCTCCGTCTGTAACGCACAGAAACAAACGGTGTTAAGGTGAAAGTAAACCAAGTGATTTATGAGCAGCAGACAGTTGGAGGCTAGAGGCCAAGCTCTAGGGCTCAAAGTGTCTCTCTGTATTCACCAGCCTATAAATAATCGCACAGACTGATATGAGGAAGGACGACAGTTTGAGATGCAAAATGATAAAAAGACAGAAAGGAGCTCTTCTGATGGGTGGAAGACAACTGATGGAAGATGGGGAGGACCTGAAATTCTGACTTCTTACTGGTTCCAACTCTTGGTCAAACAGAGGAGGGACAAGATGTTTGTCAATTAATTTTGTTTTTTTTACTCCACTGCCTGTCTCAAGATGGGACAATGTCTTCAACAGAGGACAGAGGCCAAGTCCATTCATTCATCTTTTTATTTTATTCATCTTCTTTTCCCTCTTCAGGGGTCACCACAGCGAGTCATCCTCCTCCATCTCTCTCTGTCCTCACTCCAACTACCTCCATGTCCTCTCTAACTGCATCCACATATCTCCTCTTTGTCTTTTTTCCAGGCAGCTGCATTTCTAACATCCTTCTACCAATATACCCCCTCACCCCCCCCTCTGGACGTGTGGTCCAAACCATCTCAGTCTGGCCTCTCTAAATTTTTCTCCCAGTTGTTCAACCTGTGCTGTACCTCGGATGATCTCATTCCTAATCTGATCCATCCTTGTCACTCCTAAGGAGAACCTCAAAGATTGAGTAGCAGGATTTAGATGTTGAATGGATTAATAACCTTGAAGAGGAAACAAAATTAATATTTTACACCAAATTAACTATTCAGGTTACCAAATATAAAAATATTCTATCCATCAATCCGACTTGAAACATTTTGGCAAGTTCAAGCAAACTAAATTTGTCAGTCAATGTTATCACTGAAGTATATACTTTGTCTAATTCTTCACTTAATCTAAGTTTTCTGACTTGCAAAACTATACCTGGGACCAAGAAAGACCGGCCCAGGTGGCCGACATGTAAGTTCATCCACCACCCACTCAGGTGTACAAACACAGCCATCTAGAGTAAAAAAAAAAAAAATAAATAAAACACTTCTGACTCCACAGTGTCCAAATGTGACTAAAGTTATTACTGGACAAAGTGTGAATATGGATGATGATGTTTTTGCCAGTGTGCGCGGGTGTTCATGTGTCTGTTAACAAAATACTGTATGAACCACAGGATGGGTTTTAGGGACACTCGTAAGAAGTAATAATTGCTTTTACATCTACAACTAAGTAACTTTAGGAGTCTGCACAAATACAGATAGCAGCTGACTGAGCCTTAAAAAGACAAAGGTGGCTGTAGTTCTGTTATTCTTCCATATATTAGGTAAAAACTTGGTGTAGCTGAAACTGGTCCCCAACAGCTATTTTGAGTGCCAACAGATTACATAAGAGTTTTGATCATGACTTTACTATGTTGCATTACCCCTGCCTGTTAACAAAATTTCTCATGCACCATCAAGCAACTTTGATTTAAACCTTGGAAAAACAATCATTAGATGTATATGTACAACTGATTCACTTTTGGAGTTGATCTAATTCAAGATGGTTGCCACAGCTAATCCATATCAGACATGACAAACATGGATGCCAAAAAGGGAGCTGAAAATTATGTAACACTTCAACTTGGATTATGTTTCATGTCAAATTCTGTCACTGGGTTGTCATACAGCACCTTTTATATCAGTGAGTTATTTTGATGGAATGGCCAATGTCTGATATTTAACTTTAATGCTAATATCGGCCAATACCGATACCATGCCGACAATATCGTGCATCCCTAACAAAAATAACTATAACTGCCAACAAATTATTGTAGTCAATTTTACAGATATTTAGCTAAAAGTTGATGTATTAGTGGCCGAGAGTTATTCACAACACATACAGAGTGTGACATCTCACAATATCACATGAGAAAGTACATAACATTATTTTCAAGGACTGAACAAAACAACATCATCCTTTCTCAACAATTATTCTTGGTACAAAACCCTGACATGAAAGGCAGAGGGCAGTAATTATTCCTATAAGGAATACTAGGCTTCAAATTATGTCTTTGCTTTTGTTAGCTAAATCACTTAATCTACAAATATGGATGTAATGGTTTGTTTTTGTTTACCAGAGTTCACTTCTTAATTTTGTTAGAACAGAAACACACACACAGACACACACACACACACATATATATATATATATATATATATATATATATATATATATATATATATATATATATATATGCAGATGTTTTTCTTCTTTTTACATATATGACAAATTCCTCTTGCCTGTGTGG